AGGAAATATACTGGTTAAAAATTTTTTATTAAAATAAAGTTAGATTAATTTAAACATATTTAATTTAATTTAGTTAATTAAAGCAGCTATAGTTGAACATGCTTTGAAACAGATTCAAAATGTACCAAATCAATTTCAAGTTGTTTTTGCATCGAATCTAAAACAGATTCAATTTTGCTTCAAATTCAGATTCAGATTCAGATTCAGATTTGGATCAGATTGAATCAAATCAAATTCGGATTCAAATCGGATCGGATCAAACTGTTAAGGTTTCGAATCGGATCGAATCAGTTTAAAACGAATCGGATCCATATCCAATTCGTATTTAAAAAATCAGATCAGATTGAATCTAGTTAAAATCTGATCCGATTCGATCCGTTGTGATTACTAGCTATAGGAAAGCCCAATCAGTACTTAAACTCATTATTCAGTGAAAAACAACAAATCCAACTGATAAATACATTACTAAAATTTTTTTACAAAATTTGGAAACAAAGATCTGTCACAGCCAATACATCACCAATTAGCAGAATCAAATGGAATAATACAAAAGCAACACACAAACCCAACCAAGAGAAAAACAAAATAATCAATAATAATATCTTAAAAATAATTATTGAGTCATCAAACTCACTAAACAATTCTACACAAAAATCATTATTTCTTCCCTCAACAATAATATCATTTTTGAATGGGTATTAGCCATTCGACCCTATTCTGATGAACCTGAATATTGTCCAGTAGTATGGAACAATAGAAAAATCGTAATAGGCTATAGTTAATTTACCAATGTAAAGACTATTAATGTCATGTTTAAGAATTAATTTTCTAATAAAAATCCACATTTAATGCTCATTTGCGATAAAAAAAAAAAAAAAAAAAAAGTAAATAATATCAAATAATATGCTATATAATTTAATTATATATTATTATGTTAATAATACCAAATAATATATAAATATGAATGATTTTTTTTCACAAGTTTTATAAATTTTTGAATAAATAGTTGTTGAATTTTTAATGAATGATTATTGAACTTTTAATGAATAGTTTTGATGAATAGTTGTTAAATTTTTAACAAATAATTAATAAATTTTTAATGAATAGTTTAATAAATAGTTAATTAATTTTTAATAAATAGTTTTGATAAATAGTTGTCAAATTATTAATAAACTATTAATAAATTTTTGATAAATTATTAATAAATTAATATTGAATTTTTATAAACTCTTTTTATTTATCCTTTATTCACACACAAAAAAGATATTCATAAAAAGTTTTTATATTTCTTTGCTAATAAAGTCTTAATACTTTCATTAAATCAACTTGAAGTATGATTTTAAAAATTATTTTTACACTTTTTCTTCTATTTAAAAACCTTTTTACTCAAAAGCTTGACTTCTGATAACCAAGAAAAGTCAATTAATACCTTTAATACCAATAACAAAAAAGTTTCCAAAAGATGAAGAACTGACTGTGAAGTATCTAAAGATTATTTTAATCTTTAAAGTGAGAGATTATAAAGGTTTCTATAGTAAAAAAACTTATTTTCTCTCTTTTTGACTGTTTGCATCCTCTTAAAACTTTTACTTTTATGATTTTCTGGAAAATTTTACCTATCTTAATTAGATCCTGAATTTTAAGTAACACATATTCTTATCAAAAATAATTGACTAATATGAAACATATTAGTTTTTAAAATATAAACAAGCTCCTATTGATTATACTGACATTTCTCAATAATTTTATTGATGATTGGAAAGAATGTTTTAGAAATGTTTACCTTTCAAAAATTTAAGTTCCTTAAAAAAGATATTTACCATAACAAAAGTTTAAGAAATGTGTAATTTGGATTGTAAATTTCTATCTCTTTCCTAAACTTCTCAGGTGGTGACAAACTTTTAATAAACAAAAACTGAGATTTAAATATTTTTCTTGAGGTATTCCAATTTAGTGCTTACTTAAATAAAGGATCAGTTAGATTGTTTTATCCGATGTCACAAATGGTAACAAAGAAGATTTCATTCAAGACTTAAGAGAAGTAAGAAAATTATTCCAATTAGGCAAATCCCTTTTGAGAGAAGAATTACTTTCTTTTTGAATTTTTTTGATGGGATCTTGAATTGTTTCCTTTTCTCAATTTCTTTGTTACATAAGTGATAATATGTCAAATAATTTTTTTTCTATCAATGTAAAGAAGGTAATTTTAATTTCTTAATATACAGTATATAGTTTTGATTTATATTTATCCAAATAATTATTTATTTTTTGTTTGAGATATTTGTGTTTTATCAAAAGAATTTTTTGATTAATAATTATTTAAAACTGATTTATTTTTTTATTTCTATAAAAATAATAATAAAAATTTTTTTTTCTTTATTATTGACTTTTTTTAAGACACTATAGAGTATTTTCTTTTTCTTTGCAAATGAATATAGTCTAGGTATTATTATTGATAAATTCTTTCTTGAAGGACCTGAACTTTTTTGATTAGCCTAATGTATCTTGAAGGTATAATATTTTTTCTTTTTCAGATTTTACTGCTAGTCTGAATAATAAACAGTATATACTCTACATAAAAAGTTAACCTAAAAATTTAAATACTGTATAACTCTTAATCACACTGAACGAAACTTACGCATATAATTCGCTTTAAATACAGTGCATGCAAAAAATAGACCAAAAATTATCAAGAATAATTAATTTATAAAATGATACTACTTATAAAGTTGAAACCTCTGATAACTAATTTCATATAAATATAAAAAAATATGCTATTCCTACACACCTCTCATCATATTCTTTGAGAAGACCCTTTGGCGAAAAATTGGACATTGTTGTCCAGGATTTTATAGTGCAATGTAGAAGGTCTGAACCATTTTTCCACGTTCCCCGGACCACGGGCTATAGTTATCTGTATGAGATAAGCGGCGCGTTATAATAAAGAAGTTGCGAGGAGAATACAATAAAGGTGGTTCGATTCCCACCTCACCCGAAACATCTTTGCTGAGTCCGGTACCTAATCCACGTACGGCTAGTAAAAATTCCGATTGATATATTAACGATTTCACAAAAATTTCCTGATCCAGATCTAAGCGATCGCCGCTCGAGGATTCCATCACATCATCATCATCGGCGTGAATCAAGGTAATTATTGTTCCATCATACTAAATTAGAGAAAAGAACCTTTTAGAAAGGTTAACTAAGAAAACTATAATTTTAACTCTTCTGTGCAGTGATCGTGTACCTTTTCCACAAAAACCCGGCAAGCTTTCCAAAATTCCAAGATGTCTTTTATCTGGAAGCCCAAATAAATCAGTACACTTAGATCGTCAAAAATCAGCAAAACATTTGAATCCAAGGAAGAATGGGACGTGTCGATGACATTTTTTATAGTGGAATAAAAGTTTTGCAAGGTTTCTTTCGTGTAAACTGTTAAATTATCGACAGTTCTATCTGAAATCGGGGGATATGTCAAACCATCGATGAAGGAAAAGGTTCCTTTTTGAGCTTCAAGGGTTAAGTTGACGCCCTAGGGAGAATACGTCAGTGGCAACTTATAACCGGAAACCCATTTACTCGTCACCACCGTGCACATACCAATTTTCTTTCGATGTTCAAGTAGTGGCTGAGGATCTGGGATAGTCCCACCAAAACTACATGTTTATTTGATTTAACTTGATTTACAATAAAGTGGTGAATTAAAAAATTTCCTGGAGAAGTTAAAGTGTCCGTTAACAATATTGATTTCTTGGGAGGAACAAGATTATTTTTGTTGGGGAAAGATAGAGCAACATCTAATGTCGGGTAACCCATTGTCTGATCGGATCATGATAATTGGAGAATTACATGTACTGTATGTCTGATCGGATCATGATAATTGGAGAATTACATGTACTGTATGTGATAGGGGGGATTGGTGTAACGAGGCCAAAAAAAATTTTTTTTTAACATTGTATTGTTAATCTGTGCTAGAATAAAAGCGCTTTGCGGTTTTTAATTCAACATTAAACGCGCCCTTCTTTTTTAATAACCTGTTGAATTCGAAAAATGTCTCGTCCAGAACACCAAGCACCACCAGAAATTGTTAGTATCGTTCGGCTTGTCACTCCATAGAATCTCATTTCAATATGCTAATAGCGCGTTCGCATCTTCATTTTTCCGATATCAGTATTATAATGACGAAGAAGCAAAGAAATATACATCCAAGTAAAATAAACAATTGACCGAAATGTCTTGGCATTGGATTGTCGATGGATTAATTCATTCACGTTCTCTTTTGATTCATCCTTACTTAGCACTCGGATACAAAGTGTTCAAGCTGAAATGGTACTCCTCATGTTTGTAGTACTCTTCTACATGTTCTGCATTTTTATCTACGAATTTTATGCGGTAGAGATTTGGGAAGTTGTAAAGCATAGAATTTAAGCGATCTCACAAAATATTTTTCATCACGAGAATCTCATTTAATAATCATCATATTCTAAAATCGATGTTTATTTTTCATCTGTGTAATATTTTTTCACCTACAAGACGTATAGAGCTCTCGAATTATTAAATTTACCCGAGAATGAACCAGCTTTTTTACTAGACATTGGATGCGGGTCGGGTTTAAGCGGTGAAATATTAGATGAGGAAGGTCACATTTGGGTTGGGATGGATATTTCACCTTCCATGTTACGTGAGTTGTTGATATATTAAATTCAATGTGCACACACACACAAAAGACTCGCGTTCATGTGTTTGTTGCATCTCCCTTTTTTGTGAACAATGGTTACAGAAGTCGCATTGGAACGAGAGGTTGAGGGTGATCTGTTCTTACAAGATGTTGGCCAAGGGATGGGATTTCGCCCAGGTACATTTGACGGCGCGATAAGGTAATTAACAATAAATAGTGTGCTTCCTATTATTGATCCCTCCCGTCCTCTCTTAAAAAAATTCCAATGATTATTGTATAGCATTTCTGTCCTACAATGGCTATGCAACGCAGATCACACCTCACATAACCCAAAATCACGGCTGAATAGATTTTTTTCAACATTGTATTCATCGTTGCGCCGCGGAGCTCGCGCCGTATTTCAATTCTATCCCGAAAATGATGACCAGTGTGAATTAATAATGAACGTCGCCATGAGATGTGGATTTGAAGGTGGCCTTTTGGTCGACTATCCAAATAGTAAAAAGGCGAAGAAATATTTTCTGTGTTTATTCGCCGGTCAAAGCGCATCAGGAGCTAAACAACAGATGCCAAAAGCTTTAGGCGAAGATGTCGACGGTGAACCCAACACCGTGGTTTATTCGAGTCAGAGGTGAGACATTTAAATAATTTGAAGTAAGGAAAAGTGCAAAAACTCATCGAAACTTCTTTTGAATTGTAGAATAAATGAACATCACAAAAAGAAAGGAAAACAGCGCAAGTCGATCAAGGAGAGGGATTGGGTTTTGCATAAAAAGGAGATCGCACGGATGAGAGGAAGGACGGATGTACCAATGGATTCAAAATACACGGGAAGAAAAAGGAACACAAAATTCTAGGGAATCGAAAATTATAATTTAAACTATTGTTATTAAATGTGTAGAATGATTGGAATGGATTTTGCTTGTGCATGATCAATGTTCGCTCCTGCCGACGACAACACGGCGTTCCGCTTAATAAATGCTGTTGTTTAATGGGGGGTTTTTTTTTTTTTCACTTCCACGACTTGGCTCACTATTCTTCCTCCTCCTCCTCTTCCTCTTCCTCCTCTTCTTCCCCGTCCCCAGATTCATTATTTTTTTTATCCTCTTTCTCCTCGGTTTTTTGTTTTTTACCTTGTTTTTTCTTTTGTTTTTTCTTCTGCCTCTTTGCTCTTCTTTTTGCTGTTTTTTCGTCCTCCTTTGCCTTGATTGCTGCCATCTTTCCTTCAAACTCACGTTTTTCTTCCTCCTGCAACATAAAAGACGCATCTCGTTTATCGGACATAATGAGATGGCACGGAAGAAATACGAACCGTAAACTTCAGATACCTTTTTTGCTTCTTCCTCCATAATCTTCAATCGTGTATATTCCCTTCGACGATGTGCTCTATACACATGGAATTCGCCGCTACCGGCGCCCGCACTTGAGCCTAAAATAACCGTTTCCATTCAATTCTTTCTTACATAAAACATTGATGGAATCGTTGAAATTGACCAAATCATACCTTGAACATTTCTAACAATATCCTTTGGAGCCTTTAGCTTCGGCTTGTCCAATATCTCTGGTATATTTACTGGCTTATCGGCTCTTTGCAATAAACGCTCCACTTGCTGCCTTTGAATGTCAACAGGCGTCAAGTCATGCTTACGCTTCTTTTCGGTCGCTTTTATTTCAACTTCACTGCTGTCGGAGTCAATCCCAGTGGATTCGCGTTCTTTTGTTCCCATTTTTGGATGGAGCATTTCTTACCATTGGTGATGGTCATATTTATATAATGTAAGTAATGAATGCTCTAGAAGATTCGATACGATTCAATTTTCTCGTATCACGCAAAATTTTTTTCACGTTTTAATATTTATCACGTGATTATAAATTGTACCCTTATTTGAAAGATTTTATTACCATAACTGGATACACATGAGAGCATTTGAGATCAGGTGTCAACTCCATCACTGCGGAGACAACGTTTGTACGACATCGAAAAAAATTTTCTTATTTAGATCAAAAAAAATTTTTTTTTTGTTTACAGGCCTATTACGAAGCCAGAACGGGTTGACATAAGAAGGTAGTTTGTTGTAAGAGTTGTTAGCACGTCAACTAGATCTTTTTCATTCTCTAAAAAGTGCTCAGTCGTTGTGGCTAAGCATATTCGTGCCCACGTACCAATAATTTATTTTAGTTAATTCTATTTTAAAAACTGCCTTTTTTTTTCTTTTCCTTTTTTTCTTATCTCAACCATGCCATCGACTAAACCACAAAAATCTTCAAGTAAAATGTCATTTTCCCCTCAAAATGGTATGCCCGAGCGAAACTCAAAGAAAAGAAAGTTGAATTCAAGTAAAAGCGAGGATAATCATAAAGTGAATAAGTTAAAGCAGGAATTCACCGCGATGACCACTGTTATCTTTACCTCTATAATGTCCAAGAAACAAGTAAATTTCTCCAATTTTTCCATCTTAATTATGTCACAGTAATTTGATATTCCGCCATTAGAGAACGACATTGAAAATATTCCTCTTTCTCGCGAAACTAAACTCTTTCATTATTTTTACAAGGGTGATGATACCAAGTATAATGAACTCGTGCAACAAATTAAAGATTACGCGGATCAAAAAATTCTCAGTCCAAGAAAAGTACGGCTTTGGTTGATGGCCTTCTCTCGTGCAACCACAATGCTGGATGTATCATGCAGCACACTGGTCAGTTTCGTGTTGAAATTAAATTGGACCGAATACGACAACAATCTGGTCGTGATTTTTGTGATGTTCCTTGCGAATCTCATCTCTTCACATTCAGATCACATGCCAGCTGTGCTAAATATGTTGGTTAAGAATTTGGTGTTCCGTAAGTTTTGTTATTACTGTTCCCTTAATCATT